TCATATGTAATTTGTATCTCACAATCACAACTCCTTGTGATTAACAAATCACCAAGACTTGAATCTACGGATTCTATTATTTAATTTATTAGAATATTAATTCAATTAAATAATAGATATTGCCATACATATGCATTGATTATATATATATTCAAAGTGTTTATATCTAAAGTTGATTGGACTTAGGGTATAACACTTACATTCCCGCCACGCCCCCTACCCGACCCTACCCAATTCATCCATCCCAAAACAAAAAATCACACAAATCAATCATGATCGACTATCACCCCAATCCATACGACACCACACCACCCACCACAAACACCATCGTTGCTAGGACCCACAAAATTATTTTTGTACATGTCTTAACACTATGCTTACTAGAGTTGTTTTTGGCAATTAATTTTTGGTTCCTGAAAAGATTCAGTTTTCTTCTTCATTATTACCATTTTGCTCAATTATCTTCCACCAAAACTCAGTGATTTTGGTAATTCAATTCCTTATTGGTGGTCGAGGAGAGTTGACAGGTGCTGGTGGTGACTATAAAGGAGGTGGAAATTTAGGTGTTGAGGTAGGGGAGATTAAACTGGTGTGATAGGGAGATAACTAGTAGCGGAGCTGAGTAGATAGGTGGTGGTGGGGAGACAATTGGTGGATGAGAGAGTTTAGGTGCTAGTAGAGGCGACTCAAAGGGTGTGGAGGTGATGTGACAGCACAAGGCTTCAACATTGTAGTGGCACCAAATTTATATATATACATATAATAATTTTAAATTTTAAAATTATTATTATTATATAGTTAAAGAGCACAATGGTTACGAAAATAGGGGCCCTATTTTAAAATATTTCACAAAACACCCAAAATCTCAAGGCTGGGTGCTAGTAATGGGATTGCACTTGGGGGGTATTGATGAGTAAGATGGTGGGAAAACTAGAGCCGACTTTTTGAAGTGGGAGGTGGAACATAAATCTTTGGTTGTGTTGGAGGGTTTTACTTTGGACTTGGTAGAAGTAGTGTAAGAGAAACATTTGGTGGTGAGGATGTGGGCCTCACTGTTGGTCGTGGTGCCTTCAGAATGGCGACGATGGCCTTGGTCCTGGTCATGTTGCCTTCACAGCGGTGATGATGGGTTAACGGTGGTTGTAGTGATTGGGTCTGGTTTTTGTATTTGATTTTGGCTGGGTGGGGAAGATGAAGTTATTTGTTTTGTGTTTTTGTTGATTTTTATTTAATTATTTGAATTGTTCTATTATAAAAAAAAATATTTATTTACCGTTTTGCTCCGCACCTAAGTTGTCCATTTGAGTCAAAATTACTATTTTCAACATTGACTAATGGTATTATGGTTGGAATCAATGATTTGAACCATGGCTACAGTTAAATATAAAGGTTCGAAATTGCAGCTGCAAAAATGAAAGGTTAGGGTTTAATTTGCAGCAAAATGAAAGGTTTGGGACTAGTGCTACAATTTTCCCTAATTTTTCCGGCTACATACGAGTTGATTGAAGGAAACTTGATACCAAGGTTATAAGTGAAAAACTTAGTACGCGCTTAGAAAGGTAAAAGGCTCATTTGTTTAAAATAATAGGCCCATTCTTTATTAGGCCCACTATTGAATTAGTTGCGTCAGGACGTCCATTGGGCACTACACTGACTTACGAACGACAGTAGACAGCTGAGCCCATTTAACGAACTTGATCAAACAAAGTTTAGGAAATTGACACAAGAAGCACTAGTTGGGGCTTAAAACTTGTTTTTACCCTTTGATTTAGTACTACTTCAGATGTACTCTAGCTATTATTCATTCGCCGAATGAGATCACCCATAGCAACGGATATGATCCAAGGAAATATTAAAGCCAAGAAGGATATTGAGTTCAATTTCGCAATGACATTCCTATGAAAATTTGAGCGTAATACATTGATGTTTCAAAATGGATGATTTTGTGTCATGTCTCTAGCTACTACTTTTAAACCTAGTCAAGATCGACCTAGTCAGCCCGAAATCTGCATCCAATGTTGTGCCCAGTTCAGGCACTTGATTGGACCAATTTGCATGGATCGAATTGATTTTGTATTGAACCCACCGATCGAGTTGTATCAGGAAGGGATCCAGGATCGAATTTGTTTTTAACACGGGCTCATAGGTAAAAAAAAAATTACATAAAAAATATATTGTAATTTTTATTCAACACCATGCAAGCCTCTGCCTAAATCCGCCACTAAGTTGAATTGACCAAACCCTACTCTAATTGAAATGAATCGAAATGTTATGAGCGTCGCAGTTGAGTTTCAAACTTTAGACATGAAGGCTCCAAGTTGAAATGCTTCATCGCACCAAACCTTTTGTAGTTATTAATTTTAGGGAAATTTGCAACAAGGTTCTCAAACCTTTTAAAAATGTACAGCGAGGTTCCAAACCTTTAAATTCTAACAGCTACTTTCCAATAAATATGCTATATGAGAACCTCTTGACAGTTTTCGTCCAAAGGCACTTTAGTTGAGTAGGAAAAAAGACTTTTGACCTAATTATAACCAATCTAATGAAGGGCATAAATGTCTCTTTACCTTTAATTAATTAAAAATAGGAAGCATAAAAAAAAATGTGTCATCTTCCTAAAATTTAGAACCCCACCCTCTCTAGAATTGCAGTAGAGGCGATTCACCACCACCACACTGGCAGCGGCGGCCATACCAATTTTTAGTGTCGTCTTCTTCTCTCTTCCCTCTTCTCTCTCTTACAAGTCAAAGAAAAAAAAACTAAGAGCACGCAGAACATATTGAATATTTAGCCAGTCTCATTAAAAAAAAAAACTCATTTTTCCACGGACTCATTTCCAACTTTACAGTTTTTCCACAAATAATTTTCACGTAAATCTAAATTTTTTCCTTGTTTTTTAATTACACACATCAAGCACTACTATGATATAGTTCAATGTATCAAGATCCGTCCTCTACAAGCGTCACGAGTAGTAGTATAAAAGGGAATATGAAAATAAATATTTCTACAAATAGTTTTTTTGTCCAAATTTAGCTTTATTTGCTAAAAATTATACTGTTCTTTCTCATTATATGAATCAGAGCACCTCCACTTCAAATACTCAGTGGGTGCATATGTCAACAAAAATGCACATTTTTGCTTAGCCCCTCTGATTTTCATTCTGACTAATTATGTTAGGAAATTTAAATTATATAATAAAATAATGAATTATTATTGATTTGGTTAAACTTAGAATCTGATGAGTCATATGCTATATTATGAATTAATATATATACAAACTAGATAGAGGAAATTTCTTAGGAAGGATCCAAGTCGTGTGATAAAGTGACAAAAACTTTATTAATTAAAAGAATTGTTTCTTTATTAGTTAGTGTAACATAAATTAATATTGGATTTTTTAGATCATAAGAAAAAGAAACGATTTACTTTTAAATTGATAATTCGCAAGTAATTCTGGAGGAGAAAGGAGCTACGAAACGATATTTAGGAATCCGATATATGAGGATACAAAAGAATGAAATGTAGATAGTAAATACGCGTATTTCGTGTTGACTTGATCTCGTTGAAAAATGCAAATGCGTGTAAATATTATGCTGAGTAAAAAAATTATTTTTCATCATCGTAGAAAAATAATGAAAATTGAGTTTTGGTATATTTTAAGGCATTTAAATTTAACAAATAAATTAAGAGATTCAAATATGTGTGTTAGTAGAGAAAAATTATTTGCAACCAAATTCTAAATAGACATAACCATTGTTTGAAAACCAAAAATCATTCCATAAAATCAACCAAATTACTTCACGTTCACATATCAAGAATTACGATAACCACTTTTCATGCTGGGATGACGGAAGGATCGCACCATTCGAGCCGTTTTTTATTTCGTGCTTTTCTAGTAGATTTGGAGAAAATTGCAAATTAATATATTTAAATTATTATCATCATTTTGCTTCAATAATTCAACAAATAAAATTATAATATGAAAGAAAGCCATTTGCTACACACAAAATGTTTATTAATTGCAATAGGCACATGGGTAGAGGGCAGCATGTGAGTAAGAAGATACAGAAAGAGAAAACATATGAAAAGACACCCCGATTCCACCAACATTCCAACTAAGGATTCCATGTGCAATTTGCTTATTTTTAGGCCACACCCACACTCTCATGTACCATTGGAAAAAAATTACATAACTGGTCCGCAACTTATTTGAGACATAACAAATTAGTAGCCTACATTTTTATATAATTTTCTTTTGAAATAAAAGTATAAGTACAATCATTTTTTACATTTTGTTACGTGACAATACACCGTTTGACAGTTTAAATTTTGGAGGGTTTTTCACATAATCAACACTTGACAACACTTGTAATGTCAACAATAATGTCAACAAAAGAGTGTACAAATGACATTTTTCATGTACAATTGTCCTTTAAACGATTAAATGGCTAATATTGGTCCATTGGAACTACCTTGTGAAGGCTAAGTGTAATTTTACGTAGACTTCTTAGTTTCGAGTAAAAATGTGTTGCGTTGAGTAAAATGAACACTACTCTGACTTTTTTTTATGCAATTACTCTTATTGCTGAGTACTTCGTTTGATGGAAGGACAAGATGAGCTATAACTTATAAGCCTATAATACTTCATTCTCTTCCTCTATAAAATCGAAAATCTAGTTGTCGATAAGAGTAATTGCATAAAAAAATCAGAGTAGTGGCTGAAGCCCGTTGAGGCACTTCTTTGACGGTTCCCGTATGGCCGATTTTTCGGCACGCTCCGAAGAATTCATGGGATACATTACATGATTTGATGAAATAAATAAGTAGTCGTAAATTCTAACTTTGTAATTGATTTGGTCGATCAACATTGACTGCCTTCAACTCATTCATTGTTCACAATTTCGAGACGTAAGTATTGTTAGGTAACGAGAACTTTTGAATTGTGGTTTCCAAGTTTGGGTTTAACTAAAAAACTCTAGGCTTGGTTTGATTGGGGAATTATTCCTCGTGCCATTGAACCTTACCTAGAGGTTGACATGAAGTCTTAGCTATTTTTCTCTATTTTCTTTACCAAACATATTTAATGATGTGCCAAAACAGGGTATCATTTAAAGGAAACATAAACCTAACTTTCTTTTCTCCGAGTTCAAATTCGTCGACCAAACCATAGATATTTTAATGTCATTCAATTTAACGAGAGAAAAATGAAATATATTTTTTTACACAATAATCTCGTCAGCAAGTTGTTAAATTGGGATATATCTTGATAGAAACAAGTCATAGAATTATTAAAAATATGTTTGTGACGTCATAATAACGTGACACACAAGCCAACACTAGAAGATAGAAATGTCCATATATTGACCAAGTCTATCAAGTTCTACAACACACTCTTCCTTAGTTTCTCCACTGTTAACATCTCGAGAGAAAGAATTTAAGAATCCTCATATATTAATAACCAGTAATATTAGTAAAATATTCATTAAATTGACAAAAAATTCACTACTGCTACATTAATATAGAAATATAGAATTATGGAATGATTTTATCGTATTTTTATTCGAAACTATTAGCACGATAAAACACGAGAGCAAATAATTAAACAATGTTCGAGAAATGTATTCTTTTCTCAACAAAAAATTCGATTTTGTATGGCAACAAGCTCTTAGTTTTCGTATTTTAATTAATCTATTTATGAAATATCTCTAATGTCACATCCAATTGCACAAGAACTCAATTAAATATTATCAATAATTCTGATAAAATAATGCAACAAGTATTACTGAAAAATAATTGTTGAAAATGAAAGAAGTAAATTTTCTCTCCGTTTTACACTGAAATATGGGTATGAATGGTACGTCTTGATTATAAATATCTATATCAAATTAAATTTTAAACACGGCAATATATAAAAATCGTATGTGTAAGAGAAAACATCATGTTCACATTGCAGCAGGTAAACTAGAATCTGCTAGCAATAAATAACACTCCACGTTCTCTCTCAACGGATTATCGCTGGCTTCCAGTCTAGCCTTCCATGTTCCCTCTCCAAATTTCTCACCATACAATCTTAACACAGACACAGATATATAGATACAGATATATATATATAGAGAGAGATTAGTATGGCTTTTGTCCCTGCTGCATCAGAATCCATGTTTCCAAGCCATGAAGATAGCAATCTTTTATCCATCACAAGGGGAGGGTTTTCGTCGTCGTGTGATCCTCAAGACTTCCACGGTTATCGTCTCTCCTTTCTCTCTCTCTTGTGCGACTATTTGTTGAACTGTATCGAGCCTAATCATATTGTACAGTTTTTGTTCAATTGTGATGTTTGTGGATGTTTTGTTTGTTTATTAGCGTTTCTTGTAAGCAGGGATTTGAGATTTAAAACCAAAGTGTTGAGTTTTTGTTCTTGTATTGGTGGTGGTCTAGGTGTTTCCCAATTCTTGATGAGGAGATCCATGTCATTTTCGGGGCTCGACCGGAGCGAGGAGGTGCCAGTGGACGACGACATGTCGGACGATGGATCGCAACTCGGGGAGAAGAAAAAGAGACTGAAGCTAGAACAGGTGAAGGCACTGGAAAAAAGTTTTGAATTAGGTAATAAGCTTGAGCCTGAGAGGAAAATGCAGTTGGCTAGGGCTTTAGGATTGCAGCCTAGGCAAATTGCTATATGGTTCCAGAACAGAAGAGCAAGGTGGAAAACTAAGCAATTAGAGAGAGATTATGACATTTTGAAGAGACAATTTCAAGCTCTCAAAGCTGATAATGATAACCTCAAGACTCAGAACAGAAAACTTCAATCCGAGGTTAGGGTTTTTTGTTCTTCCTTAATTTTCTCAAACAATGATGCATGGATACATAAAGAAGCTCGCTACCTTATGACAGTTATAAATTCATAATCACGATTCACTAACGCTGTACAATTAAGACAAAATTTCCAAATTTCCATAAACTGTTATACTTTGGAATTAGTCTCGAATTACTCTCCAGTCGACCCACTCCTAGCTTTGATCACATAGGAAACGTCTCGTCAAGAATCCCAATTACTTGTGTCTTGATTAATTACTGTTTAATCTGATATTGCAGTTAATGGTTCTGAAAAATAGAGAACCAACTGGACCACCTATTAATCTGAACAAAGAAAATGAGTGTTCTTGGAGCAATGGAAGTGAAAATAGTTGTGGCATCAACCTAGTTACAACAAAAACAACCTCAGCTGACAGCAAATTATGTTCTCATCCAAGCAACAAACTGATTTTCCCTTCATCAATTGGACCCACAAGTTTAACACAACTCCACCAAAGTTCATCAAGAGGTCCAGATCTTCATCAGGGCCACAACATTGATCAGACGGCCACTAATGAAGGTTTTTGCAACATGTTCAGCAGCATTGATGAAAACCCAGATTTTTGGGCATGGCCAGAACAGTAAAAATTTCACAAATGATAGTTATTTGTGTTCAAGGGCGGTAAAAAGTCCAAAATGTTACAATTCAGGTTTCTTTTTTGTTTTTTTACTTTACCTTTTAATACCATGAAAATTTCTTTTATCATATGATTATGATTAAATAATAAAAGATCCATGTTACTGCATGCAAATATAAAATGTGCAACTGAGTCCTACCCTGCCCTGGCATGGGCTATAATGCACAGAAAAAATACAAAAGATTCTCTGTTAGCATTTAACTTTTCAGTTGTCCAATTGTTAGTATGGAGCCATTACTTTGTTGATTAAAGTACCATAAAATATAATATATATATTTTTTTAATAAAAAATTGTAAAATTGTTGGAGAGAAGGTTCGGATGATGTTCCCTAAGGATCAAGATGCAGATATTCGATTAAAATGTTGGACATAAAAACGAATCGAAGCACAAATTCCAAGAGAGTAGAGGCCAAGGAGATGGAAGATAAGAGAAGAGGTGAGAAAAAAAAAAACACAAGCACATTGTTGCTTTGGAAATGGGTTCTCCTTTATAGTTTCTCCCATAAATCATATTCACAAATGTTGATTTACATCGAATATCCAAAATTGTGTATTAATGTGGGCCATGCCTGTAACTAAACTAGTTGAGCGAGCATGACTGGGATCTTTTATCTTTTTGAAGACAAAATTCAAGAGAAAAATTTAATACAAGATAGAAAACAAAACAATTTAACAAAATTAAATAAAGAAATAAGGAAAATAGGATGGGCTCACAAAGCCCAAGCTCGACTCGGTCTTCCTGGTTGAAATCCGAACTCAGTTCGGTTCGTAAGCTCGTGGAGGCACTGATCCATAGTCCAAAATGAAAAATAGTTCAAAATTGAGGAAATTACACCTAAACCTGGATTTAAAATACCATTTTCAAAAATCATGAATCAAGTTTCATTTTACAAAAATCAGATTTTAATTAATAATTTAAAATCTTTTTTTCTTATTTTTATTTTATTTTATACTAATCAAACCCTAAAACTAATTTATTTGAAGAAAGCACTCTCACCATCTCTCCATTTTCTTCCCACGGCGCCTCCACCGCCCCTATCGCCCGCCACATCCACCGTCCCTCTATCTTCTCTCTCTCCTCTCTGCGATGTCGCTGCCGGCTTGGTGAAGGTGAAGCAGTGGTGTCGCGCCCAAATCTATTCTCTGTCTTCTCTCCCTCACTATGTTGTTGGCGCCCAGATTTGTATTTTATTTTTTTTATCTCTTTCCTCATTGCGATGTCGCTGCCGACTTGGTGAATGTGAAGCAGTAGTGTCGCGCGCCCATATCTGTTCTCTGTCTTCTCTCCCTCACTGCGTTGTTGGTGCCCGATCTTTTTTTTTTTTTATAGTTTTCGAGTTTGATTTGTCGGATGGTTGTGGTGGTTGCAGATCTGTTGGGTGCATGTGGGTAGCAGTGGTGCGGTTGGGTGTTGGTGTGTAAGGCGACGGCCGTTGTTGGAATGGTGTTGAGATCGTGGTTTTTGTTGTTGTTAGAGTGGTGTTGAGAAACGGGTGTGTTGGTGTTGGTGGCATCGTCGTCGCTGCCGACTTGGTGATGGATACGGTTTTGGGGGTGGTGATAGTGGCGGGGGAGGGTGTGGTGTTTGATTTGTTTGAGATGTTGATGTTGCTATTGTGCGGCGACGGCGGTGGTGCCGTTGTTGGAGGCGGTGCCGAAGTGGTCACAAATGATTTGGTTGGTTTGTAACCAATAAACAATTTGTGACCAATTAATTCGATAAACTGTGACCAGTACAAGCTGTGTGACCTAAAAATTATTAATTTGTGACCAATAAATTGATGTTTGTGACCATAAAATAAATAACGTAACTTTTAAATTTTATAATTGTGACCGATGAACAAATTGTGACTTTTAAATTTTTAAATTGTGACCGATGAACAAATTGTGACCTATGAAAATTTTGAATTGTGACCTAAAAAGTGGCGGAACGGTTATCGAAATACTCGTCGAAATCGGAGTAGTCCCCGAAAAGGTCGACGGAAAAGAGTTGTGATCAGAAAGGTTGCCAGAATAATCACCGGAGCTGCAGGGGTGGTGGAGATGGTGTAGGTTAATTATATTATATTAGAATTAAATATTTAATAATAAATTGATTTAATAATTATTATTTTCATAAATAAAAATTTAAAGAAACCTGATTTTTGAATCTGAAACTTGTTTTTGTATTTTTGAAATGGGTGAAAGTAAATACCTGATTTATGTATTGTTCCCTTCAAAATTCGGGTTTTAATTATTCTTTTTCAACATTCATGTGATTATTTTTTTTTTTTTTAAATACATAACTTATTAACATAATACCTTCTCCAATCCGTCAAAATCTCTCTCTCTAAAAAAATCCCCCAATGCACCATACCCAGTATCCACCCCAATCTAGAATTATCTCTCCATCTTCACCCCCACTCCCATATCTCATTCCTTCACTGGCATTTCCACCATCCACAACGGCATCCCCATCTTCGACGCCATTATTCTTCACAATAAATGAATCAAGATCAGAATAAACGTTCTTCAAAATTTCCTCCATGGCGAGTCTGGTTAGTAATTGAAAATAAAGAAGAAGAAGTATAACGTGACAAATCTAGATTGGGTGTTGATGTTGACGCCATCACATTTGAACGAAGCCATTTGTGCCCTTTTTCTTGGAATTCATTTAGATTTTTCTCTAAAAAATTATGGGATTGAATCGAAAGTTGAAATCTTCATATCATTGAGTAATTCACAACTTTAAGATATTGTGATGGTCCAAGTTGAAGGTGAAAACAGTATTGTAGATGGAAGTAATGGTAACATAATATTGGTGGATTGTTGTTGTGGACTTGAGATGATTGTTGTGTGGATTTGACATTGTAGTGGTGATTGCTATTGTGGATTTGAGGTGAAGATATTGTTTTTTGTTGTGGATTTAAGTTGAGATGGTGGTGGTGACTAGCGGTGCTAGTTCATGATGTGTACAGATTTGTTTGTAGGAACTCTTTGTGATCAAATATGTGTTTATTGTGATTTGATCACATATCGTCACAGTTAAGATTGACCTCGTCACGAACAGACACTAAAAATAAATTTGATCACATTTAGTCATATTGAAGATAAATTTAATCACAATTAGTTATAGATAATATAGGTTAGTGACTTGATTACATAAAGTCACATATTAGACAGTCACTCTGAGAACAAATTTGGTTACAGATAACACAAGTTAGTGACTTGATTACATACAATCATAAATTAGATAATCACAGACAGTCATACTAAAAATAAATTTGATCACAGTTAGTAACATATAACACAAGTTTGGTCACAAAACAAATTCACAAATAACATAGTAGCTACAAATATGGGGTGATACCATAGGGGCGGGGTGTAATATAAAAAAAAGTTATAAGTTTTTTGAATTTTTTTAAAGATTGGGATGGGATGAGAGGAGGTGGTTCCGAGGTGGGGTGTAATATTCATAAAAGATCAAAAGAAATTTACGAGTTGAGATGGGGTGAAGTAGGGTGGGTAAAGTGTAATCTCGAGAAAAGTTTCAATTTTTGAAATTTTTTTACAGGTACGGTAGGTTGGACGGGTTGGGTTGGCTATACTATTAATTTGGTGGGATAATTAATTCATTAACACATGAATTTTGAAATAATTTGACGAGTTTGTTAGTGTTAAAATGTAATTCTTATATGTATGAATTATATATTATTCCTTGGAGTTAATGGAAGTGCGAGATTCAAAGGAGCCCAAAATGGAGTAATTGGGGACGTTAGGTCCGTTTAAACGTAAGGATTTGAGCCCACAGATTTTAGTGGAAATTACACTAGATCAGACTTCTCAAGATCATAGTTTAAAAATCAGATAATAAGTTTATTTAATTCTGCAACTTATATTCTACATTAGTTGGCACGCAAGCCTAAAAGAATCTCGAACGTGCAAGCCTATAATAATAATAATAATAACAATAATAATAATAATAATAATAATAATAACAACAACAATAACAACAACAACAATAATAATAATAATAATAATAATAAATCAATCCAACTCCATCCTAATCCAAGTTAATCCCAAACCCTAAAACTCATATCTCTCAATCTTCTCCCTTCTCGCTCTCTCTACTTAACTTGCACCTTCGGCATCGTCGCACCACGGTCGGAGACCACCTTCGAGCTCACAGCGGTGGCTATTCACCATTGAGTTGTGACTACCGACTGGTTTGCACAGGCTGAAGCCTCAGTGAACTATTAGATTGCTAATCTGAGATTTGAGTGTCGTCGTCGCTGGAGATTGCATCGCCGCCCGCTGGAGAAGATTTGAACTGTCGTCTCGCTGAAAGTAGGAAAGCTGCAACACCGATGTCTGAGATCGATGATGATGCTGCGCAGAGTTTCAGCTTTTTTCGATCTATACCGTCAATTTAGAGATTACACCATCGGTGATGGAGAGTTTTGAGTGCCATAGCTGGAGAAAGATGATAGTGGTAGTAGGGATGACAAAAAAATTAACAAACTTGATACTCGCGAGGCCCACCCCGAACAGGGCGGGGACAACCCGCTTAAGTGGATATTCGGGGCGGGGAATTTTGCCCCCAAGCTGGTTCGAGGCGGGGATAGGTAACAGGCGGCACACCCCGCTCCGTTAAATTTTTTTTTAGAATACTTTAAATGAAAACTTTCATAAAATTTCATTAATTCTAATAGAAAATAACAACTAAAATTATTTATCTAAATCTAATAAATATGGGCAATAAAAATAAATTATTAAAAACTAAAAAAAAAAATTTTAAACGGGTAGTAAATGGGGCAAGAACCTGGCCCCGCCTTTAACGGGTAACGGGGCCCAGGGCCCTTCTTCGGCCCGTTGCCATCCCTAGGTGGTAGTATGCTGCATTTGGTGGTGTGTTTGGGTTTGTTGGTTTTTGGAGTGGTGGCGATTTTCATGTTTTGGTATTGAAGTGATTTCTTTGGTGATGGATCTTGTTGTGGCGGAGTTGGTGGTGGTGTTGGCGGGGTGGGATGAAGAGTGTTTGTGACTAATTATTTAAGTGTTTGTGACCAGCTATATGGTTGAGTACTTGATTTGTGACCAAATATTGGTAATTGATTGGACTCAGTGTTTTAAAATGCGTAATGCGTTGCGAAACGTCGAGGTCGAGAATCAAGAATCACAAGTTTAGGCTTGTCAATTCGAAAAATAAGTGTCATAATGCGTTTCGTATTTTTAAGGCATTAAATATATTTTTATATAAAAAAAAAAAATTTTTTAATATATAAAAAAAAACAGATTTAAAAAAAAAAGAAAAATCAATGATTTTGTATCACTAGGATGCCCGGGGCGGGGATAGGTAACGGGCACCCCGCCCTGCCCCGTTAATTTTTTTTTAGAATTCAATACTTTAAATGAAAAATTTCACAAAATTTCATTAGTTCTAATAGAAAATAACAACTCAAATTATTTATCTAAATCTAATAAATATGGACAATAAAAATAAATTATTAAAAACTAAAAAAAAAAAATTAAACGGGTAGTAAATGGGGCAATGACCTTTCCCCCGCCTTTAACGGGTAACGGGGCCCAGGGCCCTGCTTCAGCCCGTTGCCATCCCTAGGTGGTAGTATGCTGCATTTGGTGGTGTTTTGAGTTTGTTGGTTTTTGGAGTGGTGGCGATTTTCATGTTTTGGTATTGAAGTGATTTTTTTGGTGATGGATCTAGCGGTGGTGGAGTTGGTGGTGGTGGTGGTGGTGTTGGCGGGGTGGGATGAAGAGTGCTTGACTAATTATTTAAGTGTTTGTGACCAGCTATATGGTTGATTACTTGATTTGTGACCAAATATTGGTAATTGATTGGAATTAGGATTGGGGCGGGGCGGGGCGGGGCGGGGTGGGGTGTTTGGAGTATGTGATTAATTATTTGGTTATTTGTGACCAACTAATTAAATGTGACTTCAAAATTCGATAACTTGTGATCAACTAATTTGAAAATATGTAACAGTTAAATAAGTTGTGACCTATAAAATTTGTAATTTGCAACATATAATATTTTTTATTTGTGATCAAAAATAATTTGTGACCAATTAATTTGATAATATGTTACCAATAAATAAGTTGTAACATATAAATATGTAACAGTGATCATTAATGGTATAATTGTGACTTTAATATATTTAATTATCACTTAAGTTTTGAAAATTTAAACTTATTGTAATTGACACATAATTTACACATGATATATGAATTTTCCCATTATGTATTATTCCCTGGAGTCAATGGATGGGCGAGATTCAAAGGAGGCCAAAATGGAGTAATTGGGGACGTTAGGTCCGTTTAAATGGAAGGATTTGAGCCCATGGATTCGACATCCACGACCCAAATCCACCGCACTTGTATGGGCAAACGTAACGTAAGGGAATATAAAGGGTTAATTTAATCCACGGTCACTCAATTTTCAATGAAATCTCTATTTGGTCACTAAACTTTAATTCAACTTAATTAAATTATTAAACTTCAAATTAATTATACATTACATCCTTTGACACTTCAAATATTGCTTATTTGGAGGCCAAAATCATGGCTATAATCCCATGTAATTAAAATTTTTATTCTCATTTTCAACCATACATTTCTAATAAAAAACTTAAGAGCACTACTATACATCATAAAATTACGTTAAACTTCATGTAGTTGAACATTTGAACTCAACTTAGTTAAGAAAACCTTGAAGATCTTTTGGAACAAATCTCACGGTATTGTTTAGAGAATTAAGAGAAGAAACAAAAGGATATGATTTAGGGCTTATTTTTTCACTTATAAAATAGAAAAAAGTTTTTTTTTTTTTTCAAAAAATCTGAGGCCCTCCCTGATTTTAGACCTGAGGCGCCGGCCTCACTCGCCTCGGCCCAAAACCGGGTCTGGCTATAATCCCATGTAATTAAAATTTTTATTCTCATTTTCAACCATACATTTTTAATAAAATAATATTTTATATGACATCAATAATTTTTACTTTTTTTTCAACCACACATTCTCCATCAATCTACCATTCGAAAATATATTATTCAAAAATAATGTGACTCAAACACACCCTAATTTTCCTCACCATCCCCGAAATATATAATTGTAAACTATTTGTTGAACCATTTGATATAAGAACTATAGTTTATCAACACTTAAAACACTAAAAAAATGTTTAATCTTAAGAACTATATAATTGCATCTTTGATACAGTTTAAGTTTAGTTTAAGCTAGTTTGTACACTTGTTTTTCACATATCACGTAGGATTCACATTCACTTATTGTTCATGATTTCCGTATGACTAACATCTTACAAAAACTTAAGAGCACTACTATACAAACTAATTATGCATGTTTAGCAAAATTTAAATTATAATTTAAACTGATCAAAAATATTTTTATTCATGCCTATCATAGGGCAAACATTTCATACTCGCGTACAATTCGCATATTCGTAGGACCCACATCTATAATATGAATTTCATTATTATAATTTATGTATTTATTTTAAACCCAAATATGTAAAAATAACAACTTCAATTTCTTTCTTTTCTCTTAAACCTAGATATTTAAGATTAGTATTTTAAATAAGTTTAACAAAGGGGTGTTAGACGAGATGAGTTGTTCGGTTCTGTTTGACCTCGTCTATGAGGCAAGCCAAGCTCGAGTCTGCTTGCTCAACTAAAGTATGACTTGATTCATTGATGACTCGACTCGTCATTTTTTTAAATTCAAAATAATATGTTTCATTCGTTACGACGAATCAATTTAAGAATCGTTGACAAGTTGATTGACACGAGTTGATGAGCTTGCGAGCTAACTCGAGCGAGTTGCTCGGGAAATTCTTCTTGACTTGCTAGTGAAGCGGGGAGGAGCCCCACGCTAGTTTAACTCAAGACTAATCCAAACAAAGGGAAAAACATAAAAGAGAAAGTGAAAGAGAAAAGGAACAACGCCCAATGTTAATGAATGACTCCAAAATGCAAAAGTTCCTTAACCCAAATTTAAAAAGGAAATTAGCAATAAATCCGAAAAAAAGCAATGGAGAAAGTCTATACTTACATTGCTTATGCAGTTTTCTATATGACAGACCAGTAAGAAATCAATCATTAAGTTATCATCTTCTGAATAAGCCAATATTATTTCACCTTCACGATGCCTCCTCAAATTCGAATTTTTTTTTCTCTCTCACTTCTTTTCACGCAAAACGCACGTTTCTCTCTTACTCTCCCAATCCTCTTTCTCTCTCTCACACACACTCACATACACACACGCATACACATTACACACCTTGTTTGGCCTCGAAAACACCTCATGTCGGTCTCTTTCTTCGGAACAAACCATTTCTCTTTGGAATGGGCATACACAGTATATCACTGTTTGTTCTTTGTCTAGAGTTCTGTGTGTGCGTGTTTGAGTGTGTCTGAAAAGGAAGTGAGTGTGAGGGTAATTGCTTTATTTTTGAATGTACATTCTTGGACCTGTGATTTAAATTCATTCATTCATCTTTAGTCTGTGGGTCATTGTTTTGCATGTTCTTTATAGAATTAAGAAATGCATTTCAAATCATTTTTGCGCTTTTCACTCAATTTTTCTCATCTGGGTTGTGTTTTTTCATTGAAATTTTATCTTTTCTTTGTTTTATCAAATTTACATGAAATGAAATTGTTTTAGTTTACCTGGGTTTTTTCCCTTTTGTCTTATCGATTAGTTCGGTATCTTTGGATTAGTGAAAAAAAAAGAAGAAGAATATTCGGATAAGGGCAGAGTGCAAAGAGGGAGCTTTTGATAAATTGATTATTTCATTTTTGATATATGAGAATTTTCTTCTAGGGCTTGGAGGGAAATGGGCCTAGGCCTTGAAGCTATCAATGCTGGTTCTATGGATGTGGGCAAATCAAAATCAAAGGGAAGAAAAAACATACACAACGATGATGATGAAGATAATGCTGAGGCGACTGGTTGTTGGATTAAGTTCAGATTTTTCGGAAGCTGCATATCTTCTAGGGCTAATGTTGATAGCTCTGTTAGTGGCTCGAGCTCGCAATATGGTATACAATTAACATTTTTCTGCAATGTTGTTCAGATTACTTACAAGTTACAATTTTGCGAGATTATTGATATGGATGGTTCTTTTTCTATTTGTGGATATGTAGAGGAACAGACGATTCTAAAATTAATTCATTATTGCCCCTTTTTTTGGAGAATATGTTCGAAAATGTGATGATTTCATGTAACTATCTGTTATGGTGCAAGTTATATGTGTGTTTCGCGAGTAATCACTCAAAAGATGTTTTCTTTGGATTTTGCTCTCTGTAAAGAGAAGCGTATTTGTCTTTGCTCTACAAGATTCTGTGATTATACATTTCTTAAATATATGTGTGCATGTGGTGGTAATCAATATGTTTTCTGCATCTTGTTCTAGGATATTGAGCTTATGAGAGAAACGTAATCACTATTTACGTTTGGTTTTCCTTTTTCGCAAAAGATGTTTGCTGTCATCTTTGAAACTAGAAAAAAAGTAGGAATTTGTGTTTCTCTTTGTGATGATCCATTTTTGCATGAGTATATTTTTTAAAGGAAGAGAAAGAATTTATATAACAGAGCGGTTATAACCTAAACAATGTTGTGCCTGCCGACATGCAAAAGAAAAATTGGAAGAAACTTCTACCACAAGGTATATTCACGTGCTCTCTGGGACATTGACACGATAACTTTGGTTGACCTTTCAGTATTAGACTGTTTATCTTGTTTCTTTGTCATTTACCACCCACAAGGAAACGTGTGAAGTGGTTTTAATAACAGAAGTTTCTAAAAAAAATGTTCCTCCATTAGATCAGGAAAAATCATCTAGGGTACTTGATATGTAATGTTTTCATATATGAAAATGATTTTCTTTCTCCTTCCAGTTTCTTGCCATCTTGAATGTCTCTGAGGTGATCGTCAAGTCTGGAAAGAAACTTATGATTTATGGAGTATGAGATGTGATTGCAAAAAACTTAATGCCTTTTGTAGTTAGCAAAATAGATGGATTTTCTGAAAGAATCCGAATTTTAAATGGGAGAAAACTTATAATTGGTGATAAAATGAATTTATGAAGCTTACTCATCACTTTGCCTTTGCTTGACAAATGCTGCATGGTTGCTTCTCTTTGTACATCTTTTACCCGATTTTGCTTGTGCATTTTCTGGAGAAAACTACTGTGACTTAACAGCTGAGTCTGGTGTTGGCTAATGCATCCTGAAGGAAACGGGATTATCAAAATCATTTTCTATGCAGCAATGATTGATTAACTATTCCATACTTCTTTTGCAATCAAGATTGTCAATTTGGGGAAACTTGCCCTGCCCTTGGTGTCAATTGTCAATAACACCTTTTACTCATGTATGATTTACGTCCTTTTCACTTTGACAAGTTAGTGTAAGACAGAAAACTTGACAACTTTTGTATATATATGCATTAAGTGTTGTCTCAGACATGGGAAGCTGGCAATTATAAAAACATCAAGCTATAAAATCCATCTGTCATCATACAACATTTCAAGACCTGTATTTATTTTTAATATTCCGGACATGAATCGCTTGCATATATTACTGACTAGGGGATAATTTTGGGTGATCTAAAACCTTATATTACGTATTGTAACGACCCTACCTCGCCCCGGAGCCGTTATCTTACATACTGTGCCCAATTGGTATCAGGATTTCACTTAAATCTCCCATATGATGGAGGTATTGGGTTCAAATCTTGGGGGACGCGTCAGAAAGTTGTGAGGGGATAAGTGAGCAGAAACTCACCCCAGAACGGACAGTATGTAAGATAACGGTTCTGACGCGAGGTCGGGTCGTTACAAAAAAACGCGCGTTTTTTGTAACAACCCGGCCTCTCACCGGAGCCGTTATCTTACGTACTGTCCGCTCTGTGGTGGGTTAGTTGCCCAATTGGTATTAGGATTCAACTTAAGTCTCCCATATGATGGAGGTCTTGGGTTCGAATCTTGGGGGACGCGTCAGAAAGCCATGAGGGGTAAGATGGGCCTAGGCTCTCCCGAAGTGGACAATACGTAAGATAATGACTCAGGTAAGAGGCCGCGTCATTACACGTATTACTGATAATTTGTTATTTGAGAAGTTCCTCTAACTTTAACCGAGAAGGCTTTTTTCCAATGGATTTGATGAATACTGTGAGGAATGTGCCTTTGCTAGATGCTATCTTGTATGTTTGTTTAGCAACTTATATTCGGACACATTGTGTTAAATGACAATGTTCAAGTTACAACTATTATAAAGAAGTGCCGAATTACAAAATTCAACCATAAAATGCATGCCGTGTGATTTTATGAGACCTAGTTCACCGCAATTTTTCTTGGAATATGATGTGTGATATTGTGCTCTGAAAAAATGATTTAAAGCTTGGATATGACAGTAGTACATTCGTAATTGGTTGTGCTTGAACATGTTGCCGTTGTTCTAATCTTCTAGGGGGTCTTTTGTCATGGACGGGGTTCAATTTTGTGTCTAATGTAATTGGTAGATTTGTTTCCAATCTTTTTTGTTGTGTTCAAAGATGTCAATTAAGGATTTGATGATGCATATTTGTTTGTGTAACAGCTGAAAGTAAATCTACAAACGATACAAGTAGAGACCAACCAGTTGCTCCAGTCGTATCATCTTCAACAACCAGCAACACAGAAAGCATACCATCTACTCCTATTGTAGGCGAGGAATTGAAAATTGCTTCTCAGCTTCGAAGATTTACCTATAATGAATTGAAGATTGCAACGAGGAACTTTAGGCCTGACAGTCTCCTTGGTGAGGGTGGCTTTGGTTGTGTTTTCAAAGGTTGGATCAACGAGACTGGATGTGCGCCAGTTAAACCTGGCACGGGGCTCACGGTTGCCGTGAAAACTCTCAATCATGATGGGCTTCAGGGCCACAAAGAGTGGCTTGTATGAAACTACTTTCCTTCATTCATGAATTTAAGGGCTCATATTTTTTTCCGTATACATAACAAGTCAATCACATTTTGCAGGCTGAAGTAAATTATCTCGGTGACCTCATCCATCTACATTTGGTTAAATTAATAGGTTATTGCATAGAGGATGACCAAAGGCTCCTCGTCTATGAGTTTATGCCTCGGGGAAGTTTGGAGAATCACTTGTTTAGAAGTACGTATTTTTTTTTTGGGATTTTTTTAACATCTCTTCTATTCACTATTTTTTGTGTTAGGACCTCTAGGTAGATCTCTTGGATAGAGAGCAACACTTAAATGCAATTTGTGATATGCTTGTGCTCGGGACATCAGATTTATTTTATCAGAGTAGCTTGTACCAAAAATATATGACTACTTCCAGTATATCAGATATACACATGGTTATTAATGTATATAAGTATACGATATTTTAATTCTGTTAATTGCATGTGGATGTGCATGTGCGCGCACATGCAGACGGACTAGTTTTCGTGATAATGCACAACTCAGAGTAGTATGTGAAGATCGACTCTTGGCTTCTTAAAGGGCTTCTGCATCTGAGGAAGTCAAGGATTTTCCTATATTTTAGTTTTTCTTTGTTGGAGAAACTTGTCGTATTCTTGATTTTCTGTATATTTAAGAGGACTTGTTCTCTTGATGTATGTATATCATGACTAATAAACTTTTGTTTCTTAACAACAAAAGGATTTATGGACTTCATTTTTTTAGTTCTGCATTGCTATAAAAGATGTCTTCTGAACAACAAGGTTACATGTCAAGATAGGAGCAGAATTACAGACTTCTACCTTAAAGCTACCTGCTTGGCATCCAAGATGAATGTAAGAGTAGGGACGGAGAACATAAACATGATGATACCTTGATCTCGCAAGTAATTGAATGTATGTTTTAATTTGAATAAATAGAGATAAGATCATGGTGACGAGTTTTATGTTGGATAACAAGGGGTGAAAAGAATTGCATTTAAATTTTGTGGATTAGGTGCCATGTTGTGCTGGAAAGATTGGATCATTCTGGCTCATTGATGAGGTGGGTCATTATAGGCTCCACTAGTCCTTCTGGCTTTCCTTTTACGTTCTTGGTACATTAACTAGATCCTTTTAAGGTAATTTGAGATCCGTACATGTTAAAAAGGTAGGAGGCTGCCTTTACTTTCTATAAAATTCTGTGCGCATGTGCACGTGCAGTTTTCAGTAAAGCCTTAGAAAGGCTATGCTATCTTTCGAACATACTTGGTAATCCATTTTTATCTCTTATTCTTGCTTTAAACTAGCTTCTGTTTTCATTGTAGTTCATTCGATTCTATTATATCATTTGGAACTGTATGATGTCTTTGCCAAATAGTAGATGGTGCATGCTAGTACTCTATTTCTGCATCACGTCATGATAGTAGTCTGATATTTCTGTATTCTTGCAAGTGAAATGTTCTGAAAACGAGGAAGCTGGTCATTTGTGACAAAAGGGTTCCTGCAGGTTGTATTGTAGTAACTCACTTTCTGAAAATTCAGTGTTAGATTCATCACGACTTTCATATTGTTTCCCTTTTATCTTATTTCCCTTGTCAGTATCATGTCAAAAATCTTTTCATCTGCTTCTTGATTGTTATGGACGATATGCATTTGACCGTTCATCTTTGGTTATGGGGTTCACACCTTACTAATGATTGTGTCCATATTCTCTTTGCTGCAGGGTCCCTGCCTCTTCCTTGGTCCATAAGAATGAAAATTGCATTGGGTGCTGCAAAGGGTCTTGCATTTCTTCATGAAGAAGCTGAAAGACCAGTTATATATAGAGATTTTAAAACATCGAACATCCTACTAGATGCTGTACGTGGCTTAAAATCCTAGCTTATATTGTAATGGTTACGTGATTCCTTATATAATGGCTTTGCTTTTCAAAATTGTTGCTCTAGGATTATAATGCGAAGCTTTCTGATTTTGGTCTCGCCAAAGATGGTCCCGAGGGAGATAAGACGCATGTATCTACTCGTGTAATGGGAACATATGGCTATGCTGCCCCCGAGTACGTGATGACAGGTGAGCACACTTACACCCCTGATCCGGGCAATCCCTTGTGTGCTCATTTTTTCTTTTGGATCTTTCTGTTTTTAATATTTATTGAGGAACATCTGATGGTTTACTTTACATGGCAATCGTCGTGGGTAGGGTTTAAGGCAGTGATCTAAATATACAAGTGAACTGTACCTAAACCACCCAAACTGAGTGCTGATGATCGTATATTTACAAATTTCTCTCTGCCCCTTTAATTTTTTTCCATATTCATGTTGCTTGATGTGCCTCATTGTGTGCCAGGACATCTGACGGCAAAGAGTGACGTTTACAGCTTTGGGGTGGTTTTGCTTGAAATGTTGACTGGGAGAAGATCAATGGACAAAAGCCGACCAAATGGGGAACATAACTTGGTGGAATGGGCAAGACCATATCTTGGAGAGAGGAGAAGGTTCTACAGGCTCATTGATCCACGTCTTGAGGGTCGTTTCTCAATCAAAGGGGCACAGAAGGCTGTGCAGTTGGCGGCTCTATGCCTCAACCGTGATGCAAAAGCTCGACCTCTGATGAGCGAAGTTGTTGAAGCCCTTGAACCGTTGCCTAATTTGAAGGACATGGCCTGTTCCTCCTCCTATTTCCAGGCCATGCACTCAGAACGTGCTGCTTCCAGAATGCAAGTTTTTTCGCTAAAGAATGGGCAGCCGACTCGGAGTCCTGCCTTGCCATACCATCTTCAAGCCTCGCCAAATCAACATATTCAACCTCTCCGTTCACCAAAACCAGACAAAACATAAGCAGAACGTGTTCGTATCATTCTTTATAAAATTCTTTTGTCATGTGGCTAGTTCTCACATTCAAGGTGAGAGTTCAGGTGCAGTTTTAGAGGATTTCTTTGGCTCTATTTTTGCTTGTTTGGTGAATTCTGAGTGTTGGTATTTCAGTATCCAGAATGGAGTTGGATATCTTGTGTATAGTTGTTTGACTCCAAACCCCGTTTGGTTATAACTTAATTAAAAATTCCATACTTGGATCAACCATCATCGTTGTCTTAACGTTGTTAACTTTCTCAAGAATGTGAGTCTTTTTGTTGACTTTCTCAAGAATGTTAAAATCTTTAAGATCATAGGTCGATAGGATCCCCTTTTTACATTTGGAAGAGGCCGAATCTCTCGTTGAAGGGTGTAGTAAATAAAACTTGCCAGCAGCAATAAGACAATAAGCTCTTGCATGAATGATCAGAGTTTGGAAAATCATTTCATATGTGATACTTGCATGCATTCAGATTACCTTGTTCAAAACAACAGTATACACCTCAGTTGATTTACAGAAAAACAAATCATGTGATCATAAACATTACAATGCGGTGGACCTAACATCGAGTTCAATTTCTAGTCGAAACCTGATGGTAACTTTACGCAATATACGAATATTCCTCCTCAGAGTCATTTCTCCACAATGAATTCTTCTATTTCTATCCCGGTATGGCGAGCACCTCCCTGTAATCTCATCAAAATTTCATCACCTATCTTGAGTGAGGTTACAGGAATAGCTGTTTGTTGATGTCCACCTGCTGCAAATGCTGATCATCATGGAATGGAAAACAAAATGTAGTTCTAATATAGTTGCCTGAATTAAGAATTTACCTTTACGAGAGGAAACTAAAGCTACCGTTTCAGCATTTTGCAGAAGAATGCTGTAAGAAGTCTGGTGATCCAAATCTATCTGCAATAGCACAAGACACGAATTGTCCATCAGTCATCAGCAACTTCTAGTCAATCAAATATATACACATTCAAAAGCAGAATATCTTACAATTATTTTGGAATATGAAGTATACGAACCTTGGCCTCCACGAGAATTAATGGTCTTGTCTCGATCTTTACACGTCCAATAATAGCTGTTCGCTGCATGCCGTTTTGATCAACAACAATCACCTCTTTCCCTGCTTTTAACTCTGAAAGGTAGCTAGTCTTCCCTCCTGGAACTGAAACATAGGCATGAACTGGTCCCTGCAATATCCAAGAGAATATAATGTTTGGGGACGTTTCATTTCATTTTCTGGAAACTGCAAAATCCAGGCCTAATGCTAAAGCCTTGGAATTTGAGTTTAATTCGGCAGTGGAAAAAACTAATGGTTTAGTTGATGACTAGTGAAGGTATCAGGCAGGACATTGTTGGAATTAAAATAAATTTTTCCTATGCGCTTTATTTTATCTGATTACAACATTTCATTATTTGAATGTGCCAAAATAAATCTCCTCTCAGTTTCTAGCTTAATATTGGATGCACTAGTTGCAACTTAAAGATCAAAAATGAAAAAAATAAATCTTATTTGTAAAACAGATGTTTCTCATTAACAGTTCTTTGTAGCCTTCAAGTCGTTAAAACGCTTAACTTCATAAAGAAGAAACTCACTGCATTGACTCGAAAAGGCCTGCTAGAAATGTAATTTGACTCTAAGCATTCTGAATGAACAAGGAAGAGCCCTCTTGCAAAGGATCCAACCTTTGAGAAATGCACAAAATAAGAAAGGAATTTGCATTAATTAGCAAGAAATCTATAATAGAAACATAAAATGGAGAGAGTATGAATTATGTTGATGGCCTAAACCAGAAGTCCTTCACCGGGTCTCAGAAGGCTGCAGAGATCAACACAGGCACGGTCACCCATTCCAGCCATTTGAACATTAGTTATCGTGGCCGTTGTCAATTTCAAAAGACTGCCCTCTTCATTTCTTCTATCTAGATAATCCTAATGGATAGAATATTATAAGGTTTATAGACTCACAAAAGGGGAGAAGAAGCACCATTTTGGAGAAGGCATTACCTTCAGCTCAAGGAGGGCTTTTGTATCTTCAGTTTTCAGAACTACACCGCCTAAACCATGCTCCAAGGCCTACTAAATTGATTGATGAAATGAACAAGACACAGTATAGGGCAATGTTCAATAAAACAGAACCTAGAGCAGCTAAGAAATAATGTCCAAGTCCTTTATCACATTAAAAATAAATATTTTCAAAAGTTAATTCCTAACATAAGATACTACCTCAAGAAAAATCTGTGCTTCAGATGATGTTTTTGATATGGCAAATACTGTTTTCTGAGTGCCTTGAATCGCTGCAACAATATTCTCAGCAGGTATGACCTGAGACACAGAAAGATAGACATATATAACCAATACTTATGGAAAGATTATGGCTTAAAACGAATAGATCACATAAATGGCCACATTCTGGACATATATAGTACTTTGATGAATATTCAATAATTTATATTAAATACTACGAAGGTACCAACATATTTAGACAAGTGGCAACAGAAAAAACCTTTTTTCAAACTGAATTTTGATTGCATATAGTATGAGGGATTATCTCATACAATTTGTGTAGGTAACTACAGAATCATACAACAAACCAGATCATCAATAGATGAAATTATTAATGTAATAATAAATTTGAATTGGTTACTCACCTGCCAACCCAGGAAATCGACAACAACATTTTCTGCTTCCTCGTTCAATAGCTGGAGCTTCTCTAATTGCTGGGGAGAAGAGATCTCAAAGAAAGTAGCAACTCTTCTCTGCTCACCGTCATGTAAGTTTCCTTCTTCAATGAAGAGAGGATGTATCAATGCGATAGCTGCAGTATTTCACAAATGAATTTCTGAGAAATGTCGTTAATAATCTTTAGCGGCTCCCCTGAAATCAGCAGACATCCAAAACCATATTGAACAAGACCGCTTACACTTCCATCATATAAATCCTGCAGTGTAAAATATCATAAAAGAGACACTTGAACTAGCGTAAGAGTTCTACATTTGTCTGGTAGAAATTCAACAAACAAGGCAAAAGTTACATAATTTTACATAATGTCACTAGACTAGATCATGTCTCCCTGTGCTTAAGCAAACACGATCTAATTCGTATTAGACTTTAATAATTAATTTTTCAACTTAAACAGTAGGAAAGAATCCCACAGACATTTAGAAGAGCAGAAGATGCTTACAGGACCACTGAAGAGCAAGGTCACGGCAATCATTGGAGAAGATGAAAGTGTTCCAACCCCTCTCCACGGCCGCCGTCATCACCTGCTTGTTCTCCGTCCATATCCACACTTTCTTTCTTAGGGATATTGAAGAAGAATTACACGCACACATTGCAATTGTAACGAAACGGGAGCTGTGAAATCGACTTCTTCTCTCCTTGATTTTCGTACTATTGAATTTATAATCGATCAGTCTACAACTTCCCCATTTACCAACGGAATAAGTTGAAGGGAAGAGCACAGCCATTTCTAATCCTATAGAATAAAGGAATAAAATGGCCAGACCAGAAAAGGTTCTGTTCTCTACAATTTCAACTAAAGACGCGTTTTTGTCATATGATTCCGTTTAAATCGCAATCATAAAATCTATTATTATTATTATTATTATTATCGTCGTCGTCGTCTTCGTCTCCCCCCTTAACTGCATCATTGGGATTGGCTTTAGTAGACTTGGATGGCACTGTAGAATATATTGAGTCCGTGAGGTCGAGGGCTGTATTCAATTGAGATTTTTGAAGATTGGGATGGACTTTTTTTAAGTGATGACTTATGTGGATTTTATGAATTTTTTAGAAATTTCATTTTAAAACTTTGAGAGATTTTTGTAAAATTCAAAAGACTTTTGAAAACTTTCCTTTGAAATAGAATTCACGTGAATCTT